TAACGGACAGCGCTTTAGACCACTCGGCCACTCGGGGCCCCTAATATTGATGAAATGTTGTGACCTGCATGTGTATATATTTAAACACAAAGTTCGAAATTAAGCATCAATTTCTGTAACTATATGCTTAATTTAAATAGTTTGTTTTTCTCGTACAAAATATTGACAGAAAAATCAAATTCCACTCAGAAACCTTAGATACCCATAAAAAATCACTTAGCCAGTCCATAAACCAGCATTTGCTCACTGAAAAAGTAACTGCAAAGAACCCAAAAGTAGCACAATCACTTTAAATTCTTTAATAAATCAAACCGAGTATATTAGAAAGTAATTTGTATAGGTTTATATGTTTCAATTACCATTGATGATAGAGACCACAAAAATGGCTTTGAGTTTCCAGTTAACATTTAATTAAATATATTAGTTTTCTTCATTTAACGTCCAGATGTTTTGAATTTATGTTATTTCTAAACAGTTTACTTATCTACTTTGTATTATTTACATTTCAGTATATGAAAATGTAATGAATAAGAAAAGCAAACTTTAAGATTTTGTCCATTTTTGGGTTTCAGTTTGGTTCTTTGTGATATAGGCATGATAATGCCTTCTTTGATTTTTGTTATGCAACTTCGTTATGCTTATTGCTGCACAAAATATATGTGTAGTTTACCGGTTTCAAGACCGTTTATTCAATTTTCCTTAATTTTTACTTCTATTTTTTTTATTCCTTTTCTTTATTTCCACCTTCTGGGATAAAATTAATATTTTGATACTTTTTTCATGTTCGAAATTAATAATCATTCCCGCATATAATGTCACGCCAAGATCCTGAATATTGACAGACACCAATAGTTACAACGTTATGACACTTACGTCACATGGCTTGAGTTTTAAACAGTAATTTAGTACCGACTTTGAATATATAATCTCTGCAGCGTTTTGATTATCATGCCTACTGGTTTTATTTCGATGAAAATTAATAGATTTAAATGAAAACGTAATGCTAGTTTATTTTTTGAATGAATATTATATCCGATTTTGCAATAGTAAAAAAAGAATTATCTTTAAACTGGATAAATAAATGTGTGTGTGTGTGTGTGTGTGTGTGTGAGAGAGAGAGAGAGAGAGAGAGAGAGAGAGAGAGAGAGAGAGAGAGAGAGAGAGAGAGAGAGAGAGAGAGAGAGAGAGAGATTTTTAACGTAGCTTTAGATTTTTTTAGCCATATAGCTACGTTTGCAGTGTGGCAGTCTAGAGTGATGTCTAGCATTGGAGCATCATGCCGCAAACATATAGCATCGTGTCCCACCCAATCACATTATCCGCGACCTAATAAATAAAAAAATAAATAAAAAAATAAATCGTCCAATTTTTAAAGCATGGATATTTTTTTAAATATAAAAACATTTTCGCAGGAATTATATCTTTTCCGGATGAAAGGCGTGCTTAACGGATACATTAAAACATTAAAAGAAAGCGACACCATCCAGATGTTGCGTCGTAGATTTGCGTGAAACTGCAAAACAGACCACGATTTCGAAACTTTGTATCATCGTTACGTCAAAATGATACCACTTAAACTCTGACGTTTATTAACTGCTTTTACTGATTCCTTTATTGCCCCCGTAAGCTTCTGTGAATTAATGTTTGCAACACCCTCAAAAACAAATACTTCATAGCATCCGATGTTCTACGTCACCGGTCAGTCACAGGCCCGAAAAAAATGTGACTTTTATATTTGTGATAGAATTAGCGCGGATTCCATCTCAGTTAAAACGTGTAGCCATAGGCCAGTTAATTAAAAACCATATCCACTCTGATGATGGAGTATTTGATATTTCATTAATAGAGCTTTATTTTGACTGTGATAGAGTACTAGGTAAATTATCACGCACTGACCTCTGATAACCTCACTACCGTTCAGGAAAAGAGATTTTTGCTCGGTTTCTTGTTGCCTTGTGAATTTAATTTGTGTGTGAAGATTTTTGGAGCATACTCAACAACTCGCACAGCAAGTAGCTATCAGTCTGCGAAATATCCAGCTGTAAGATCGATAGTGGAGTTAAAAGAATTTGGCTGGATTCAGTCACATGGTCCACAAACCCGGCAACAAATGGTTTAATTCATTGGCCCAAGTAGGGAATTTATGTACAGTGAATTTATTTTATTTTATTTTATTTTATTTTATTTTATTTTATTTTATTTATACAGAGAATTAGTCAATAAAATGAAAAAGAGTGGAAATATTATGGAGGCATATATATATATATATATATATATATATATATATATATATATATATATATATATATATATATATATATATATGTGTGTGTGTGTGTGTGTGTGTGTGTGTGTATATATATATATATATATATATATATATATATATATATATATATATATATATATATATATATATATATATATATATATATATAACTGTAAAATCGGATATGACAAAAAAAAACAAGCGTACAAGTAAAACTGTCAACATAGGAGACTGTTTAGTTATTACTGAGAAAGGCTTTACTAGTATCAAAGGATTTTGTGTTAATGAATTTTGTCCTCTGCTTTCTTACTATCATAATGCAGTATGGATACAATTGAACGGCACACCAGGAAAACACAACGCAGTGACTTTTACAGAATATACAGAGGTGAATACGTACTTTCCTGAAGCCAAATCTACCCCCACCCCACATCACCCCACGTAAATCTTCAGTTGAAACATTAAATAATAATAAGTCAGTTATTTCAACGAAGCTATAATATATAAAAATATCAGTAAATAAACAAATAAAAATAAATCAGACTTCTTAAGGGGTGTTTAAACCTTCTTTTTGATCGTGGTTATTATTTAATTGCAAATACTAGAAATAAACATTAATCTCTTACTAAAGTAATAAGGCGCCGTTTCTTTCGAAGACAACGTAAGTTACTTAGAAGATATACTCATAATGATCTAACTGTATGATTTCTGCAAGAAAAAAATGTACAAGATAAGAGTTATAAAATTTGTTTTCGGTTTGGTGCTTCAAGGCACAGTAACACACGTAGGTAATTTAGTGCCAAGGCCCAAAGACACACCACGGTAACTGACCCACGCTGGGTACGATGGTAGAAACTCGAACTCGCACCCTTTCGGTCGGTCGAAAATCGCATTAACCACTGACTTTTCTCTAAGTTGTAAAGTTACATTAGCAAACTGAAAACAAATCTACAACAAGATAAGTAAATAATAAAGAATTTGACTAAAGCAAATAACGACAATGCCAATTTATCCGATGAGAATGAAGATGAGGCAAGTGAAAGTTTGTACCCATGAAATATAAAACGTAGTTCAGACAGTTCAGTATTAAGTGAACCTTTCTTTTCAGATGAAATATTCAACTTACTGAAGAATGTTTAATCGAATAAGTCGCCTGGCCACATTTTCATTTTTAATGATTAATGTAACCCCACAGAGGAAATGTTCTCTTCCAGTCTAAGTTGAAACTATAATCTGATTTTAAACACGGGTATTGTTCCGTAAATCCATCCCCAGCTTCATTAAGCATTATTCAACAGGCCTGCCTACATTTTCATTAATCAATGTTTCATAAACCTGTCCCCAATTTCACTAAGCATTATTCCATAAACTGGTTAAGTAGTTATGATGTTTTATGTTTGAATTTAACGCCATTTTTCAGCGCATGATAGACTAAACATGGCAGCGGCCAGTGTAACCGACGAAAAAAGAACAAGGAAAATCCTTGGTTAGAACCGCCGACCCATGTGAAGCTTCTGGCAAGTTTTATCACATTCCCAAACTGTACTATCACGAGCCTGATATGTACTCGAACCCAATCAAACAAAAATGAGATGGCTGTGATCGACCAAGGCTAGTGCTTTAGACCACTCAGTGCCCAGTACAGTTTCACAGAGCATCTCAAAATTTTATCTTTAACTTGAGATTATATATATATATATATATATATATATATATATATATATATATGGGATTAATTGGAAACACCGTCTTTTTAGTTACATTTTGTTTGTACGTGTTTTGTTTGTTTTTTTATTTTAACGTGCATCTGATAGAATAACAGGATAAACCCCAAAAAGAACGACCAACCTACGAGAAGCTACTGGCAAGCTTTCTCATGTACCCACATTGGTCGAGCTTTAGACTCGAACCCATGCAGGTGGAAGTGAGATGGCAGTGATCAGTAACGTGAGCGCTTTAGACCACTGGGCCACTCGGGGACTCAAAGTCAAAGGTAATGGGATACCAAGAACTCTTTATCACCCAAACAACGACTTAACGATAAGATGCGTAATTTTATAAACAAGTTACATACATGATTACTGTAATAAGCTCATGCCTATCACGGACTAGGTTCAACAGTGATCTGTTATCATATTTATCAGCAGGCATAGTCAAGGACAGCCATAACATAGAATGGTATATATGAATTATGACTAATAGTGCAGCCTCTGATTGGTTTCCTCGGAAATTGGGTTCTAAAATCTCTTCGTTGTTGTTGTTGTTGTTGTTGTTGTATGGTTTAACGCCATTTTTCATCACAATATAGGCTATATATGGCGAACAGTATAAATAGTGGATGATGAACCCATAAAAATCCCGGAAAGAACAACCGACCCACCACGAGAAGCTCCTGGCAAGCTTTTTCACATACCCACATTGGTAAACCCGAGACTTGAACCCACGCACAGGTGAGATGGCAATGATCCGTAAAGGTGAGCGCTTTAGACCACTTTGCCACTCGGGACCCCTTTATTTTAAGTAGTAGTAGTAGTAGTGGTGGTGGTGGTAGTGTGATTTAGATTTTAACGTATCTTGAACAATTTTTCAGCCATATCGCTACGATTTCTGGAGAGTGGTAGTCTATAGTGATGTCTAGCACTGGAGCATGTAATATCATGTCCTAATCAGTCCTAACCATAGCCTCTTAATGCTGATTACCTAGCAAAGCAGCTGTTAGCACCACTTTTATAAGTTTTCGCCGAGGTTCGAACCAGCGACCTCCCGCCTCCGAGGCGGACGTTCTAACCACTAGGCCACCGGAGAGATCAGTATCAGTAGTAGTAGTAGTAGTTGTAGCAGTAGTTGTAGTAGTAATACTACTACTACTACTACTACTACTACTACTACTACTACTACTACTACTACTACTATTACTATTATTATTATTATTATTATTATTATTATTATTATTAATGGTGCTAGTAATAGTAGTAGTAGTAGTAGTAGTAGTAGTCGTAGTAGTAGTAGTAGTGGCAGTAGTAGTATCAACTACAACGGAAAAAGCAGAACATCCATGGTTTCGTCCAGTTTAATTCTCATTGTAAAGTAAATTCTTTTTTCGTAAGAGACACTGTTTATTTTGCTTTATTATGTGTTTTATACTTAATCTATTGATAACAATATTTATTATATTGGTCATAACTTTATGCTAGTGAGGGCATCACACATGCGTACTGGGCCTCATGTGTGTTTCCCATGTGGAAAGATAAGATATGCCAATTGTTATTTATGCTAAGAATTTGGAACTTTCTCATATTTGCATAGGTTTTCCTGTATTTCCTTGTATGAAAACATGTGTTGATGTCCGATAAACTTTACCAATTTATGGATAACATGTTCAGAAGACAAGTAAGTGTTCATCGTGGATTTTAACATTTGCCCCATAATCTGGGTCAGCTACAAGACAGTCATATTCCGATTTACAGTCACACTGCAAATTTTTAAGAAACAGTTGAAGCACTACATTTGTTTAAGTACAACAGTAACATCAACAACACTACTACTGCTACTTATTATTATTCTTATTCTTTTTATTATTATTATTATTATTATTATTATTATTATTATTATTATTATTATTATTATTATTATTATTATTATTATTATCATCATCATCATCATCATCATCATCATCATCATCATCATCATCATCATCATCATCATTATTATTATTATTATTATTATTATTATTATTATTATTATTATTATTATTATTATTATTATTATTATTATTATTATTATTATTATTGGCCCTGAGTGGCCAAATGGTCTAAAGAGCTGACCGTTACGGATCACTGCCATCTCACCTCTGTCTGCGTGAGTTCGAGTCCAGACTCAGCTAACTTAGGTAGGTGAGAAAGCCTGCTAGTAGCTTCTTGCGGGTTAGTGGTTCTTCCCTGGGTTTTCCAAGGGTTCTTCCTCCACCATTAATACTAGCCGCCATGTATAGCCTATCTTGTGCTAAAAAATGGCGTTAAACCATACAATAACAACAACAACAATTATTATTATCATTATGTCTTGATCAGCCACATGGAACTCATCCATTCAGTGCACATATGAAACAAAGATAACAATAATACTGCTATCATTAATACTATTTACTTACTATTAGTACTATTATTAACAATACTTATGATTTCTTTTTATTATTATTATTATCATCATCATGATTATTATTATTATTATTATTATTATTATTGTTGTTGTTGTTGTTGTTGTTGTTCTTATTGTTGTTGATGTTGTTTTTGTTATTATTATCATTATGATGTTCTTGGTTTATACAGAGAACTAATTTTTAATTAATATTGTCGTTATTCCTTTACAACATTGAATATTTATAAAATGATTTAGCTCTGATAGTCGTTATTCATGGGATATAATTTGATATAATTATTAAGGAGTGTAATTAATTTCTTAAATAAACTGAAATTGTTCGCTCATGTCAAAGTTGTATCGAAATCGAGATGGATTTGATTTTCGAAAAGGAAAATAATAATTCATAGATTAGATAATATTTACAATTAATACAAGTAATAATACTTTAAAGTTGATGACAGCAATTAAACATTGGATGAACAATACTGTTGTTATTTAATTCTCTCTCTCTCTCTCTCTCTCTCTCTCTCTCTCTCTCTCTCTCTCTCTCTCTCTCTCTCTCTCTCTCTCTCTCTCTCTCTCTCTCTCTCTCTCTCTCTCCAATTTAATACAATCGGAAAATTTACAGACTTAAATTGTGATCGTTTAAAATAACCAATCGGGTAAAATTGTTTAAAAATGTGAAACTAAGAAGAATAAGTTATACTATTATTTAGTTTCTACTTACCATGTTTTTGGCGAACTATTATCAAAAGCATTAATGATAATGCCAAATACTTGAACTATGGGGAAAATAATTTTAATGCAAAACATTTGAATGTTAGGCACAATCCTGATCTGTTAGAACAAGGCCTAATAGCTGTCTTTTTTAAGGGTAGAAAATAAAACTAAATGAAATCCTAATAATTATTTCTGAAAAGCATGTATTATAGAGGATATAATCTTCTCAGTTTTCGATTAATTCTCTACAAGTAAACTATCAAAAGGTTGTGGGTTGCAATCTGAATACTGTTTGAGTTCACGAACTAGTTGGTTATAATAATGAAAATAAAGTAAATTGTATCTAGTTTTGTTTTCTTCATGCAGAGTAAGCTTTTGACAGCGTATGACATGCGGTTTATTAGGAAAACAAATATTTAAGATTGGAATAAATACCTTAATATGGACTGTGATTGCAAATTTATGCCAACATATATACAGCCGAGTTATCATTTTAAGAAGAATTTCAAACAATTTTCTGGCAAAGATGGAACATTATCATAATATCCATTGTTTTTATTAACAAGTTTCCTGATGTTTTGACAACATGAGCTTTTGACATTGTCTTTTTAAGCCTGTCACAATTAGGCTTGATCGGTTACGGAAAAAAAATGTTTTAAGTACCGTATAAAGTAGAAATTGGGATACAATTCTTACTTAAGTAATAGTTTTTCTTGATAAAAATTCATCTGACCACAGTAGTAGGTACAAACTTTGCCTGTCGGGGATCTGAGGCCGTTCATGAAACAGGATAATTGTCGATAGATTTTATATAAATGCTTCTAAGTAGAGTGGAATACAATTCATTATGAAAGATGATTAAATATACAATGGTAAATAATCTACTGAGTTATATATATTAATATATATATATATATATATATATATATATATATATATATATATATATATAAAACTCAGTAGACTAAATATATATATATATATATATATATATATATATATATATATATATATATATATATATATATATACATATACATATATATATATATATATATATATATATATATATATATATATATATATATATATATATATATATATATATATATAAAACTCAATAGACTATATATATATATATATATATATATATATATATATATATATATATATCTATATATATATATATATATATGTGTGTGTGTGTGTGTGTGTGTGTGTGTGTGTTTGTTGATGAAAATGGTTTCCGTCCCGTAACAGTGAAGATTGATACAAAGCTACTGTAAAACTCCGTGCCTTGTATGGTTATGAAACCGGATGTGGTCCCAGCCCACATAACCTAATAGTATGAAACAGAAGCCGTCATTTGTTGACAATACGTATCTTGATATTAACTTAATGACGCTGCGGTTAGTTTATTGGGTGTTTTACCAATTGAAGCCAATAATGATATGAAGAATAAATAGTTTATTTAGTCACTTGTTTCACAATAAGTGTTTTAGTCTTCTTTTTTTAGGTCTCTCTTTAAACAATCAAAACTGAAAAGACAACATAAATCACTTTGAAGGTTGTTGCGTAGTCCAAGGTGGATTCCAAATGAAAGAATCTGACTGGAAATGTAGTGTTAAATACAAAGTCAATGCATCATATGAAACTGGTTGGAAATGTAGACTAACTGAAGAGTCTTCGTTTAATAAGTTCCAGAATCTATTTCTTGATAGCAGTTTAATTATGTCTTTATTAAGGAACGTAGGTAAATAAGTTCCAGCCAATCCTGAATCACGCCGTCTTGGTTCCTATAATGTAACGAAACCTTTTTCGATTGTAGATTGGGCTTTTTATATTCGTCGTCAAATTGTTTGCATTTCAGTCTTTGTTCGTTTCATATCCGCATGTATTTTTCTAATACAGACCCTGAAATGTCTTTACACCATATTGATAAATTCGGAGTTCCTGTTTACATGTACTGAGATTAACTATTCGATACGGATTCTGTCAATACTCTTTTTGCAAGGTGAGAAGTGATTTAATTGATATTTTATATCAATAATCACATTATGTATTTCCATTATCACTATATTTGCTTCCATTTGGTAAATGTATATAAAAATTTTGTGCAACATTCTTATCATTAATGTGTTATTGGAAGGCTTATTATAAAAAAATTCATTTTCGTTATTCCATTTTGTTCAATAAGTCTCTTGTCTAAGTGTATTTATGCACTTTTAGTTTGTTTTATCTATTCTCACTATGGATACCCATACACTGAAATCTTCATAAAGTATTTGTAACATGAAAATCACGCCGAATTTTATAATTCATATATTTATTATCTGTCTCTATCTCTCACTGTCTGTTTCTCTATCTCTGTCTCTGTATCTGTATGGATATATACATACATACATACATACATTTATTTTATTTTTTTAGCTTATCTTTTTTGTTGCGTTTCTGCTTGTATACATACGTAGTTCCCATTCTTTTCTCTTTCATTCGTTTTATTAATGTCCTTCTTTCTTTCTTTCTTTCTTTCTTCCTTTCTTTCTTTCTTTCTTTCTTTCTTTCTTTCTTTCTTTCTTTCTTTCTTTCTTTCTTTCTTTCTTTCTTTCTTTCTTTCTTTCTTTCTTTCTTATACTTTTTTAAGTTGTGCTATTCGGGGTTCTTTGAAAAAAAAAATTTCTTAAAATAACATAAAAATAACACGTCTGAATTTCTCAACCCAGAGTGTCAATATTTGTAGTCTGATTCCTCGGCTTCTATGTTTAAGGGTTGATCGTAATACAGAATCTTTATAAGAAACGGAAAGGGGAAAGTTGACACTTCCATCCAGTCGATGTCCCAATCTTTCCGTCATTGTTTCCCTATTACAACTATTTCATTTTCATGATAACTTCATCGTCTAAGTAAACGTCAAATCGTAGTTCGCGGATCTGGTGAAGA